GCTCGGTCCCTGCTCCTGCCAACTTAGCAGTTCGAAAGTGCGTCAAAAAAGTGCAAGTAGATAAATAGGTACCGCTCCGGCAGGAAGGTAAACGGCGTTTCCATGCGCTGCTCTGGTTCGCCAGAAGCGGTTTAGTCCTGCTGGCCACATAACCCGGAAGCTGTACGCCAGCTCCCTCGGCCAGTAAAGCGAGATGAGTGCCGCAACCCCAGAGTCGGCCACGACTGGACCTAATGGTCAGGGGTCGCTTTACCTTTAAGGAGGCTGGGACTTTCAGTCTCAGCAACTGATCCATGGGGCAAGAGCTACCGGACATGAGCTGCTGAGCTTGTTAGGCCTGACATTCCGCCAATTCTGTACAAATCGTACTCTTGCTAATAAAGAGTTAACTCCAACTTGCACAGTGTGATTTACTGCCAGTTCTTTCCTGAAAGGAGGTAATGCTACCAGTGTTTGGAACACTGGGTCGGTTGCAGCACCTTTATCCCAGAAAAGATCAGCCGTGCCCCAGCTGCATGCGAATACCTGGATATAACTTGTCCTTTTCCCCCCACTTGTTAACCCGAAGGCAGGGCCCGTCTCTCATTTTTTGCATTGATGTGAGCCGCTGTAGGAGACACTATTTGTCTGGAAAGGAGGATAAAATTACAGTTAATTAACTTAAATTAAACAGCCCTTGGTGTGTGGACGATACTGCTTGGAATCAAGTATGAGGCTTTGAGAAGCGTGACTCATGTGGGTAGCTGGCCTCTAGCTAATGATGAATCAAAATCCAAACATGTTGGGATAGCTAATTGCAACACTTTCTTCACCCCAAATTTGATGGCAAGCAAGAATGCCCTCCCCTCTGTTCGTGGTCCTATTCGTAAAACATGGAAAGGGTAAATGGGGAGCTGGGGGCAAATTTCAGGGGGCTGCTGAAATTTAAAGGTAAAGGGACCCCTGACCATTAGGTCCAGTTGTGGCCGACTCTGAGGTTGCGGCGCTCATCTTGCTTTATTGGCCGAGGGAGCCGGCGTACAGCTTCTGGGTCACATGGCCAGCATGACTAAGCCGCTTCTGGCGAACCAAAGCAGTGCATGGAAATGCCGTTTACCTTCCCGCCGGAGCGGTATCTATTTATCTACTTGCACTTTGATGTGCTTTCGAACTGCTAGGTTGGCAAGAGCAGGGACCGAGCAACAGGAACTCACCCCGTCGCGCGGATTCGAACCGCTGACCTTCTGATCGGCAAGCCCTAGGCTCTGTGGTTTAACCCACACCAGAGTGCTTAATGCTCTGTTCTGTTGGCAGTGGCAACAGAACAGCAACAGAAGCTGTTTGGAAGCGCATGGGAGGGGACTGACTGCTATAATAAAAGGAGCGCTGTTCCCCATCACCACCAAAATCCCTTCAGAATGGGCTTTCTTCAAAATCTAAAATGGTGACTGTCATAACAAGAAAACTTTGGGAACTCTGGTCAGCGCCCCTCTAAAATCTGCAGGTGGGCCCTCCACCCTAAAAGTGAAACAAGAGAGAGACTTTGCCCCTTCTTAGATCTTCTCCCCAAATACAGGATTTGATAGAACAGCAAACACTGCACTTCATAAATTACGACATAGTTGTACACAGAGCCATCTTGCTTCCATTAGTGATATTGCTGAAGTTCATAGATGCAGGCCTTTGAACATGAACTTGGCTAGCACATAATGCTCTCAGGAACATTACAAAGCAAGCACGGTATGTCCTGCAAGTTCTACTTTGGATTTCATAATGATTTGAACCAGTGCACCTCCCTCAAGTTTCCTAAATACTCAGATGCCCTGGGAAAATTAATCTTCCAAGGATGCTTGGGCCTTGGGCACTACCATTCCTGACATTCCACTACTCCAGCTGCTGCCAGGTAAATGTGAAGAAAACGTGCAGTGTTGGTGGGTTTGGCGGGGGGGGGTAGGGTTAGGCATTCACATGCTGTCGCAGTCCTCATTATGTCATCAGGAGTGCAAAGTTGGAAACGTGAAATGGATATTCCACTTTTAATAGCTGTGTGGTTTGCTGAGTCCAATGCTGAATCAAATTGAGGAGAATTCTCTCAGTACAGGTACCATTGGGGCTGCTCATTCTGCAAACGTCACAGGTTCATTGTCCTTAATTTATCCAGCCTATCAAGTGCCACTTGGTTTCATTGAAAGAGGTGTAGATCTGTATTTGAGATTATGAGGTGTACTGTTGGATTTCATGCATGTTGTTGTTGTTCTCCTCAATTTCTTACCCACCCTTCACCTTAAGGTCCCAGGGCCCTTTCACCCGACCCATTTGATGTTGACATCTGGAGCCCAGGCAGTGCCCAGTTTCAAATCACATTCCAGCTGTGAACTAACTGGATAGTCTAAGTCGTTGTTCTAGAACTGCTCTAATTATAACAAGCCAAGCTTGATTCACTCAGGCATTGTGGCTTGTCAGGATCAGGCCGGTTCAAAACCCTAAGCAACAAAATTGGTGAGTTGTGAAACCACTCTTAGGCCACCACATGTGGCTGGTAGAATGCTTTCAGCCTGGTGAGTCACATATCCTGTGCAGATGTGCACCACTTTCTCAACAAGAACTCCCACAAGAAAAAAAATCAGCGTTGTCCAAAAACGCTTCTGTGCAGGCATAACTCTTTTCCACAAGGTGGAGTCACAGACTGACTTATTACTAAGGTTCAGTCCTCACTGCAAGAGGAGGGAACCACTTCTAGGTCAGCTCTTCCTACCTGGCAGATTATAACTCCCCACATCCCTGATCCTTGGCTGTGCTAATTGGGGCTGATGAAGACCAAAACATCTACAGGGCATCAGTTTGCGGGAGGCTGCCCTAAATAAGCACTTGGAACTTCCAGCTGGTTTCAATTGCATCAGTGCAGTATTCCAGAACCCATAAGCATTCTCAATTGACCTGCAGGCAGAGTAACCTCACAATATAATTTAAGTCTTATATCTTTTGGTTGTCCCATCCACGCACCCGGCCTGGACTTACAGGCTTTAAACTTTTGTTTAGAAGCTATGTTAAAATGGATGCTACTTTTATATAGTTGCTGCTTTTAGTGCCTTTTAATGCATTAATAATCTTTATGGCATTTTATATTATTCTATTGGAAGCCAACGCGACAATGCATTTGAAGAACAGGGAATAAATCGATAAAATCCTGAGAACTGGGGCATGGGAAGAGGGTGACCTGAAAGTGGGGGAATATTGACATCAGCCCCTTGTCATGGTCAGAGTGGTGGTGTTAGGTGGTACTAAGTTGTAAGTTGTAAAGGTAAAGGGACCCCTGACCATTAGGTCCAGTCGTGGCCGACTCTGGGGTTGTGGGCACTCATCTCGCATTATTGGCTGAGGGAGCCGGCGTACAGCTTCCGGGTCGTGTGGCCAGCATGACTAAGCCGCTTCTGGCGAACCAGAGCAGCGCTCAGAAACGCCGTTTACCTTTCCGCTGGAGTGGTACCTATTTATCTAATTGCATTTTGACGTGCTTTCGAACTGCTAGGTTGGCAGGAGCAGGGACCGAGCAACGGGAGCTCACCCTGTCGCGGGGATTCGAACCGCCAACCTTCTGATCGGCAAGTCCTAGGCTCTGTGGTTTAATAGGATTCAAAAGGCAGCAGTCTGATTGGTCCTAGAACAATAGGATCCAGAATGCAGCAGTCTGATTGGTCCACAGGAGCCACCCAATCCCGCTCCAGGTGGAAGGGAATCCGCAACCTGATTGGCCTACAGGAGAATCCTGGAATTAGCCAATCACGTGGGGCCCATTGTGTAAATAATGTATATAAGGCAGACATTCTGGGAGAACTTCCATTCCTCCTCACCACTATGCGCTGAGTAAAGAGCATGAAATCCACTCTCAACTCCAAGTATATCTCAGGTTCACTGCCTGCCTCTTCCATGCGGGAGAGATTGCATGCAGTGGAGATCCTTGGCATGGAGATCCTTTCTGCTTTGAACTAGTAGGATTGACAGTCTAAAGATGCATTGAAGTTGCTGCTAGATCAGATGGCTTTAAAAAGAGGCAAGAGGCATACGGACATGGTGGTGGGTTGCGGTGAGGTGGGCGGTCCTAGCAAGAGCTGTTAGATGGCCTAACTGAAATAGAGTCCCCAACTTCAGGGGCAGTCTATCTCTGAATACCAGATGGGGGCACCATTTTCTGGTTCACCTCAGGTGGCAGAATGTCTTGGGCCAGTCCTGCCTTGCACCAAACAAAAGGATAAGCTGCGTAGCTTGGAAGAAAAACTCTTTCAAAAATTTTATTCCACTTTTTAAAGGTTCTTTGGCATTTAGTTAGCCCTTACATAGAGAGTAGTGCAAAACTTCGCTGTCCAGGCAGCATCTTTCAAACAGCCTCTGCTATACAGGGCCTAAAACTTATGTGGTTGAAAAATATGTTTGATAGACTGAACCACATGAAAAATATTTTACAGACAGACAGGGCACCTGAGTGTCCCAGCCACAGTAATAAAACAGGGAACCCCCTCATATTCCATTCTGCTTAAGTCTTCTTTTAATACTGGAATAGCAAAGAAACAGGTAATAACAATTCAGTCCCTCAGAAGGGAAACAGAAAGTAACAGATTGTTCAGAGATACTGGAACCCCAAATATTTAAGTGCAGGTCCTCCTGCACTTCACCTTTTTTGTCCATCCGGATGAATTAAATATTTTGCTTTATGGATTTCCCAGATTCAGACAAGGTATAGCTTTGCATGTCACAGAATTAGCCCAGAATCAGATCTATCTGGTGGCTTTTTTAAACTATATTTGTGGGGCTTAAATTCAATTAGCACAACCAAGTTTTATAAAAACAGCAAATCAGAGAGTAAGCAAGTGGCGTGAACTTCTGTTTTTCCCCTAGTTCAATGCTTTTCTGCATCACAGTGACTCCTGTGTAGGTAACAAGTGCATTTGTAACTGGGGAAAGACAGTATCAGAAAGAAAACGTTGAACCAGGAGATAGGAAAGCTCCATGAACGGTATGTATAAGACAAACTTAACGGTTTGTTACATAAAGAGAGCGGACCATATCCTTAAAATGAGCATATAGTCTATCAATCAGTTGCTTCGAGGAGATTCCTTAGTTCTGCTACTTTTTCTTCCATTTGCTGAAGGTTACAGTGCCGCTGTCTTTTGCTGGACTGAAATTTGTTCACTTGACAATGCAAACGCTTTAGTATAGCTTCATATCTTTTATTTTGCACCTGTTACAATAAGAGTAAGCACAGCTGAGAAATGCTTGAGCACAACAGACGTGCAGCAAACAGATAACAGGTCACAAAGGTTTTTTAGGACGCAGTTCTCTCCCACAGTGGGTTTTATTTCTGAGTTGACATGTATGGGATTAAATACTGCCCCTTCCAGCATCCCTGACTGTAATGGTTCTAGGGGTTGCTCGTGCGTAAGCCTGTCCCAACACCTGGCTGGGTTGCCTGAGTGAACCTTTCCTGTCCGGACAGCTACTCACCCGTGGCTGTCTCAATCGCTGGCAGAATCCGTCAGTGGGCGTTTCTTAAACTTCTTCCAGCAAAGAAGCTCCTTGACGCCCAGTCTCCTCCTACTCTCCCTGCGTGGAAGCCTTCTGCGCAAGGAGGGTGTAGGCAGCGGAGGACCCTTCCTCTCCCCGCTGGTCCCCGGCAAGGAGTCATGGGACCGCCTCGCCAATTCCCCCATTTGCCCCCCTTCTCCACTGGAGCTACGCTGATTCCCTTCCCCAGAAGATGGGCTGCCTCTCCCACTCCCAGGTCACTCTCTGGGATCCCCTTGGAGCTTGCTCTCTCCCTACGGCACTGATGGCAGTTCCCTGACACTGACCATTGGTCATTCTGAATGTGTAGCGAGAAAACCATGAGGCCAGAAAAGAGACAGAGTGGGTGTTGTCAGCATATTGCTAGCAGACTACTCCAAAACTTCACACCAGAGTGGACAAGGCAGACTCCTGTTGGACTTCACAGAGAGATCTTGAGATATCTACCATAACTTTTTGGAGCTTCATTAAAATCTCTTTGCATGCAGTTATTTAACCCCCATTTGCATTGCTCATGTTATCTATTATTATTATTTCCTGCCCTTCCCCAGAAGGTCTCAGGGCAGGTTACAGCAATATAACCAGTGTGGAGAGGACCCACACACAAGGTTTGTTTGACTCACAGATGTACCATTTTAGGAATCAATATGTTGTAGTCATTTGCGCAAAGATCAATTAGCTCCTCTATGTGCTGGTCTATAGTACACAGTGAAACAGAGGACACAACCATCAGGGTCTATGTTGAGAGTCAGTAAGACCCCAATATTCACAATATTGATACCCAACATTTGATTCTGTAACATAGCAATATTTTTCCAGCTCATCATGTGCTACTGATACAAATTGTCAAGCACATTGTTCATGTGACAAATAATAAATAATAATAAACAGAATATCATAACTATTCCACATTGCAATAAAGTAAAATACCAGCTTTTGTTGTTCTGTGTTTGTGGAATGGAGGTGGGAGAGAACCCCGGCAATATTGATTCGTTTTTATTCATATTCCTAGACTACTGGGATTTTTCAAAAATGTATAAGCTTTAGAATTAAAGAGTTCTTTTTCTAGAAGACATGAACCGCAACACAGCTGGTGACATATTGTATTCTAATGACTGAAAATCACCTGAATTTCTTTTCGAAGCCTAGCATGCGCATTTCTTTCCTCTCTAAGTGCATTTTCCTTTCCACTGATAGCTTCTTTCAACGCATTAATTTCAGCTTCCAAATATACGATTTCATCCTACAGATAGATAAAAGAATATGAAAATATTTTAATGTTCACAGATCTTTTTGGAATTTAAATAACAATTGGGATTGTTTCAAGATTCAGTGCTAGAAGATTTAAGTAAATGCCAAAATGGAATCTAAATAGTAATTGGCAGATGAACAACAACGAAAGGAGAAATGAAAAAAATAAAAACAAACATAGAATGGGTAGGATACATGATCCTCACATGATCTCCCAAGATCAACTCGCTCTTAAAAGTAATATCTAAATTTGTTGAATACCCAAATTTCATCAGAAACAGAACTTTCGCTTTTCAAGCATGCAATAATGTGCTTAGCAACTAATGTGTTTTTCCATGTCCAAGCATGTTGATTCTTAGACCCAAACTAGATGTGAAAGAGGAGATCCATAATTGGACCTCCCAATATTTTCTCTTTGTTTTAAAGCAGTTATGGGATGCTCCTAATCTCATAAGCTAAGCAGCTCTGAGGGGCATTTAACCCTAATTCATTTCCTGATCGAAATGACACCCAAAGCTGCTACTACAGAAAGTGTCGCCACTTGAGGTCAGATTGCAGCAACAGGACATTATAAGTAAGTACAGTTACTACTTCTCACAGCTGAAGCCTTGGGTACTGTTGCTATTCCTGATTTCTTCATGGACTTGGACATATCTGTGGTACCCATGCAGGACACGTACCGTATTTTTCGCTCTATAGGACGCACCTGACCATAGGATGCACCTTGTTTTAGAGGGGGAGAACGGGGGAAAAAATTCTCCCCCTCTCTGCTCAGCGCCCCTTCAGCGAAGCGGCAGGAGAAACGGAGCCCCTTCCATTTCTCCTCCCGCTTCACTCAAGGGGCGCTGCACAGCTCTCCCTCTCTGCTGAAGCCAGGAGAGTCTTTCTCTCCCGGCTTCAGCAAAAGGAACCTGAAGCCTTTGGAGCGCAGCGCGAGGTCCCACTGCGCTCCAAAGCCTGCAGGCGGCTATCCCTGAAGCCTGGAGAGCGAGAGGGGTTGGTGCGCACTGACCCCTCTCGCTCTCCAGGCTTCAGTGAAAGCAACGCGAAGCCTCCGGAGCGCGGAGGGAGCACTCCCTCTGCGCTTTGGAGGCTTCACATTCCTATCGCTGAAGCCAAGGAGCCTGCATTCGCTCCATAGGACGCACACACATTTCCCCTTAATTTTTGGAGGGGGAAAAGTGCGTCCTATAGAGCGAGAAATATGGTATATTGAAATTAGTTAAGCAGTTTTAATTTTTGCTTTAGATATGCTCTGTATACTCCATACTTTGTTCCTACTGTGCATTCCACATTGCTAAGTCAAAACGTTGCCAGCCACCACTTGGCTATTTACACGTGCTGTGGCTTTGGGCTATTTCTACAACACCCAAACACATACACTGACATACACAGAGAAGTGTCCAGGGCAGCTGTCTACTAGCTCCACCTGCTATTCCAGCTGAGACCCTACCTGCCTGTGCACTGTCTCACCAGAGTGGTACACTCTTGGACTACTGCAATGCGCTCTACGTGGGGCTACCTTTGAAGGTGAGTCAGAAACTACAACAAATCCAGAATGCGGCAGCTGGGCTGGTGACTGGCAGCGGCCGCCAGGACCATATAATTCCAGTTCTGAAAGACCTACGCTGGCTCCCAGTATGTTTCTGAGCTCAATTCAAAGTGTTGGTGCTGACCTTTAAAGCCCTAAATGGCCTCGGCCCAGTATACCTGATTGAATGTCTCCACCTCCATCCTTCTGCCCGGACACTGAGGTCCAGCTCCCAAGGCTTTCTGGTGGCTCCCTCACTGTGTAAAGTTACAGGGGACAAGGCAGAGGGCCTTCTCAGTAGTAGCGCCTACCCCAGGGGTCAGCAACCTGCAGCTCCGGAGCCGCATGTGGCTCTTTTACACCTTTGCCATGGCTCTGGGGCGGATACTAGCGAGGGGAGGAGGCGCATTGTGCGCCCCGACACTCCCCACTGTGGCGGGCGCTGTACTGGCTATGACGTTGCATGGGGCGGTGCATGCGTTAGTCACGCACCGTCCCGACGTCACCTTCCCGCCCGCCCGCTACATTGTAAGGGGCATGTACACTGGTCACTGCATTGAAAGGGGGCATGTACGCTGGTCACTGTTTTGAAGGGGAGTGAAGAACACACACACACAAAAAGGTAACTTGTTAATTTAACGTTTATTTCTATGAGGAGGAGTAATTCTGAGGGGTCAAACAAAAAATTATAAAAAAGTGACAAAAAAGTTATTTTTATAATGACGAGTTTTGCGGCTCCCAGTTTTTTTTCCTTCGGAAACGGGTCCAAGTGGCTCTTTTTGTCTTAAAGGTTGCAGACCCCTGACCTACCCTGTGGAATGCCCTCCCCCCCAGATGTCAAGGAGAATTGCCAATTAATTGGACCTGAGACTGGTTAGTAGTATTTACCGGTACTTCTGGATTCTGAAGAACAGACATTAATTCCTCCTTGTTTGTAATCATCTCTTTGACCGCAGCTCTTTTCTTCGTGAGCTCAGTCATGAGTGGCAATTTGTTTTCTGCCTCCACAAAGTGGTCTCTGTGAGCAGCCATTTTTGCATAGTAGGCACTGTTTCTTTGAAGCATCAGTTTATACTCTTCTTGCAGTGTTTCCGTATCAAATGCAAGCTTGAGATTCTCAGCATACAAGGCTGTGATCTGAACCTCCAGATTTTCACAGTGATCTTTTGTACTTATTATGGCTTCATCTTGATGAAACATTTGCCTTTCTGTTGCCTTTCTGTCTGCCACAACAAGTTTCATTTGTGCCTCAAGATCCTGAAGCTGAGTCTATGGGAAAATATAGTAATATACAGTGAAAAGTTAATACTTTTGTTGGATAGCATTAAATTATTTATACAATGGTGTAATTGCTTGAGGTTTAGTTAACTAGTTATTTTTATTTATTTAAAAGAAAACAAAATTGTGAAAGCATAATTAGTAGTATAAAAATTTATAGCACTGTAAAAAGTACATATGACTCTGATTTATCTAGAAATTTGGCTTTCCAATTTATTAAATTGAAGAGAATAATTTTGTTCTTTTGCTGTTGGCCTTTCCTGATTAAAATGATCTGTGATGTTGTCACAATGCCCTAGATCAACATGACTAGTTCTGTACATTCAAGGGAAGCTTGGAATTGTCTTCCTCAAGCAGCATCTGCCTCCCGTCCCCTACCACATTACAGACGTCTTTTCTAGGTAGGCTAAATGACTCTAGAACAGCAAGGAAGGTAATTTACTCCAGTCCTTGGCTGAGAAGCCACAAAATGTGTGTGCACACATGCCAATAGGAGAGAAAAAACTATCTTCACCTGCCCACACTTGTTCGAATTGACTTTTATTCTGCAGATCATCTAATTGTTATTATTTTAATAAATAAAAAACTATCTACCAATTTGCCGCATTTCAAGTCTTCTTCTGGGGTGCTGGGGCAAGGAGACTGCAGGAAATCATATGACTTTTTCCACTTGTCTTTAGGGCAGAAGAAATAGGGCATATCCTTGTGCCTGAACTAATGTACAGTGGTACCTCAGGTTACATACGCTTCAGGTTACAGACGCTTCAGGTTACAGACTCCGCTAACCCAGAAATAGTTAAGAACTTTGCTTCAGGATGAGAACAGAAATCGTGCTCTGGCGGCGCGGTGGCAGCAGGAGGCCCCACTAGCTAAAGTGGTGCTTCAGGTTAAGAACAGTTTCAGGTTAAGAACGGACCTCCGGAACGAATTAAGTACTTAACCCGAGGTACCACTGTACGCAGAAAGAGAGAGTCCAAGGAACTGGGGCAAATAGTGTTGACAAGAGATGAGGTTCCAGGCCTTAATGGCAAGATAAAACTGACAGGTTGGTGGGTCCAAGTAGCATCCACCCAATAATTCTTAAAGAACTCAGATGTGAAATTGCTGTTCTTCTAAGAAAAAAATATGTACCTTTTCCCTAAAATCATCCTCCATATGGTACAGACAACTGGAAAGAAGTAAATGCTGTAGTGCTATATAGCCTTGGCAGAGCCGTCTTTCCCATAGGGCTTAGTGGTGCGTTGTGCCAGGGCGCAGGGCTCTCAGGGCGCCCAGCAAGTGGGGGAGCTACGCGGCTTTGCCGGTGGTCTCCCCTTTCCCTGCACACCTGTCAGCTGCCAACCATATGGCTGGTGGCACGAAGCTTCCATCCCAAGCCTCTGCGGGGATCGCTCTCCTCCCAAGGAGGCTTCGGAGGGAAGCTGCGCTCTCCACCCGCGGAGGCTTGGGAGGGGTGCAACTTCACTCCCAAGCCTCTGAGGGGATCGCTTTCCCGCAACGGCATGGGGGAGAGTTGCGTCCCCACCCCAGATGGCTGGCAGTGCGCAGCTACAGGCACCCCAACACTACCCGTGTTAATTTGGGGGTACTGGGCAGATATCTGCACCCCAGCATTGCATCTGCTAAAGATGGCCCTGAGCCTTGGGCCTTGCATGCATGCATGCTTCCTAAGGACATCTGCTTGGCCACTTTGAGAACAGGATGCTGGCCTGATCCAGGAGGCTCTTCTTACGAGCTTACATTCATTCCATATTTATGGTTGGGTTTGACACAACCAGATCAAAGTGTGTTTGGTCATACAGAACTACAGTGGTACCTATGGTTAAGTACTTAATTCATTCCAGAGGTCCGTTCTTAACCTGAAACTGTTCTTAACCTGAAGCACCACTTTATTTTTTATTTTTTTTATTATTCATTTTCCATTACTGGACAATGACAGAAAAAAAACACCAACAACATAAAAAGAAAGAATGAGGTAACAGTCACATATCAAAAGCAAACAAGACCATCAACCAAATCGCAACCCCCAAACCAACCAACACACAAACATTACAAACAATTAACAATTGTACCACTTTAGCTAATGGGGCCTCCTGCTGCCGCTGTGCTGCTGGAGCACAATTTCTATTCTCATCCTGAAGCAAGGTTCTTAATCTGGGGTACTATTTCTGGGTTAGCGGAGTCTGTAACCTGAAGCGTATGTAACCTGAAGCGTATGTAACCCAAGGTACCACTGTAATTTCAATTGGATGAGTCCTAAAAACTGCCCACTTGGACAATTCTTGACTAAGCCATGCATTTGAACTGAAACTGAGCAGAGTTTCAGGATGGCATTTCCTCTTGTGCAAGTGTTATTTTTTAAAAGTCATACAGTATTAGGTAAAGGGACCCCTGACCATTAGGTCCAGTCGTGGCCAACTTTGGGGTTGTGGCGCTCATCTCGCTTTACTGGCCGAGGGAGCCGGCGTACAGCTTCCGGGTCATGTGGCCAGCAGGACTAAGCCGCTTCTGGCAAACCAGAGCAGCGCATAGAAACACCGTTTACCTTCCTGCCGGAGCGGTACCTATTTATCTACTTGCAGTTTGACGTGCTTTTGAACTGGTAGGTTGGCAGGAGCAGGGACCGAGCAATGGGAACACAGGCCATCGCGGGGATTTGAACCGCTGACCTTCTGATCGGCAAGCCCTAGGCTCTGTGGTTTAACCCACAGTGCCACCCACGTCCCAAAAGTCATATTACCTGCAACCTAATAAGGACAGCCTTGTTGCTTTCTATTTCAGAGGCTTGGGCATGTTGTTGTTCTGCTATTTGCTGCACAGCTTCATCTAACAACGATGAACTTGGATTAGCCATGCCTAAAAGAAGAAGAAGAAAAGACAGAAAGAGTTGGAGAGAAGCAGCTTTGAAAACTACATCTAACATAAAAAGGTAAAGGACCCCTGACAGTTAAGTCGAGTCGCGAATGACTCTGGGGTTGCGGCGCTCATCTTGCTTTACTGGCCGAGGGAGCCGATGTTTGTCCGCAGTTTTTCCGGGTCATGTGGCCAGCATGACTAAGCCAGCAAAACCAGAGCAGTGCACGGAAATGCTGTTTACCTTCCCGTCAGACCAGTACCTATTTATCTACTTGCACTGGTGGGCTTTCGAATTGCTAGGTTGGCAGGAGCTGGGACCGAGCAACGGGAGCTCACCCTGTTGTGGGGATTTGAACCGCCGATCTTCTAATCGGCAAGCCCTAGGCTCTGTGGTTTAACCCACAGCATCCCTACATCTAACATAAGTCCTGCTATTTGAAGAGCTGCTTTGAAAGTTGAGTTCATACAAGTAGGACCCTGTGAATAAATGTTAAATATGCATATATTTTAATATGCTATGGAAAGTATGTTCTATTGTATCCAAAAAGCAGCTTGCCCAACTCATCTTTCTTTTCCTGTCCCCCTCCCTGTAGCCCTACACTCTGAAAAACCTCTCCAGAAGAAATCCCTTTGCAGAGGGAAAATGCTAAAGCATGTCTGTATACACACTAGACATTGTGCGCATTCAGCGCACATTTTCCCTTCAGAGAATTCTGGGCACTGTAGTTTGTTAAGGTTTGCTGGTAATTGTAGCTCTTTGAGGGTTTAACTACAGTACCCAGAATTCTTTGAGGCAGAGAAATGAGCTTCAAACAAGCTTTAAAGGTATTGTGCATATGCACACAAAGATGGGTTTAGCAAGTTGACTTTTCCTTGCAGAAACCTTAGGAACACATTATTTTTCTTGAAAAAATGGGCTTGGATCCCAAAGTGCACATTTCTATAAAGTGCACATTTTTAAAGGCTCCTTTGATTGCTTATCCCTTCCTCCATTTTGTTCTGAAACTTTCCAGGATCATCTCTGTCAAATAAATTGCATTATTAATTTGCCATTGTTTTGTCTTTTAAATGTTAATTTCATAATTTTATATTATCAAGCTAGCTATAATAGCAAATATAATGATAGAAGGACATGCAATGATGAGGGCACTGAGAGATTCAAAATAATGAATGCAAAGAGAAATTACTTTTCAACATTAAATAGATTTTCAATGCCTTTCCGAGACTATTTGAACCAGACCTTAGCTGAGATAGTTCACAATCTGTATGGCAGCAGAAGTATTACGTGAGTGAGTTTTCTTCAGTTTCTGTGTGGGAATATGATTCCCTCACAACAGAATAGTACTTGGCAAGACCTTCTTGTAAACTGAAAAATAGCTTATCATCGAAAACTGATGGACTGAGGGGAGGAAAAAAGAATTTATTCCACAAAGACTCAAGTCAGGTCTTGAGGAGACCGGACAGGGAAAAAACAGTGGCAAAACCACAGAAAAGAGTTGACTCAGTTAATGACATGGGTTTAGAAATAAAATTGCATGCCATTTATTTCAGAGGCAAAAGAGGTTCAGCCAATGCAGTGTCAAAAAACCTGACAATTTTATCTGTCTTTTGGTGACCACATGTTATACATGCTTACTCTTATCCTCGTAAAATGTAAAGAAAGAGCAGCCAGTTGAGGCCTGTGGCAGTTTAAATTTAAGGAGGTAATCACAAAACCTCGTATTTTCCCCAATGTGGCCTCTTTTCCTCCCCTTTTTCTTGGGCCTATAGGCTCAATTTTTATTTTTATTTTGGCTCAGTTAATATCTTAACATGTTCTTCAAACACACCCCAAATTCTTCCACCCCAAATTCAGCAAAAATCAGTAATATGTCGCCACGGCTGTTCAGCCTGACTCCCTCCTTTGGCAATCTTTACAAAACTTTAGTTTATGGTTGCCATCAATTTGTATTTTAATTAATTTTTATAATGTTTTTATAATGTTGCACTGTTTTAGTGTTGTTAGCCGCCCTGAGCCCGGCTTCGGCTGGGGAGGGCAGGATATAAATAAAATTTATTATTAATATTATTATTATTATTATTCAAAAGATGCCACTTCAAATGGGCCCAGGTGGGTCCGTTTCAACAGATTCAGCGATCAGTTAAAATGGCGTATTTACCTCAGGCTATTACTTTGCGGCTTGCTTATTTATTTATTTAACTGAATTTATATACCACCCTATACCAGGAGGTCTCAGGGCGCTTCAACAGAACAAAATCAGAATATAAAACCACAAAATATGTAACCAAAATAAAAAAACAACCCAATAACCCCCCACCCCCCCACAAGAAAGTTTTAGGGAGCAGGCTAGCAGGCAGGGTCCATGACTTACATCATAGGAGCCTACACAACACAAAACACGGTTGCTGTAGGTAGGTTTTATTTTGTTTTTTATCTTATATTTTGTAAATGTGCACAGTTTTTCCCCCCTTTAATTTTTTTGGGGGGCCCTAAGAGAGTAAAACCCGGCACTGGAACAACAAACCAACAAGCCCTATTGAATTAATTTCTGCGTTTGCTGGGGAAGCCCAGCAAATTATTATTATTTATAATAATAAAAAAATATTATTATTGTTGTTGTTGTTGTTGTTTTGTTATTGTTATTATTATTATTTAAATAATAAATTATTATTGTTGTTGTTGTTTTGTTGTTGTTGTTGTTTTGTTATTATTATTATTTAAATAATAAAAAATTGTTGTTGTTGTTGTTTGGTTATTGTTATTATTATTATTAAAATAATAAATTATTTATTATTATTATTATTATTAATTATTATTAAAATAATAATAAATTATTATTAAAATAATAATAAATTATTATTATTAAAATAATAATAAATTATTATTATTAAAATAACATTATTATTATTATTATTATTATTATTATTATTTAATAATAATAATAATAATAATAATAATAATAATAATAATAATAATTATTATTTAAAAATATTATTATTATTATTATTATTATTATTATTATTATTGGCGCAGCTCCTCGAGGAGCCGCTGGGAAGGAGAGGGACCGGCCCTCCTTCTCCAACTGAGCGCCCGGGGGCGCCAGCATTTGCAGAGCAGTTGTTCCAGGCTTCCAAAACGAAAAGGGGTTTGGGGTATTTTTTTCTGTGTGTGTTTTGCCCGAATTGCAGAAGATCCCCGAGGCGCCCTCCTTTTTGCAGCGCTCTTCCCGCTGGGCTGCGGGCTGCAGCTCTGCCTTCCTCTCCGGGGAGAAGCGGGGATCCTGGCCCGCTCTGCTCGCCGCCCTTTTGGGAAGCGAAGTCCTGCTCTTCTGGTCCAGCCGCTTCGCGGAAATTAATTGGGTTAGCGCCTCCCTGCGCAAACTTTGGAATTCCCCCGCGCCTTTGCAATCTGGCATTTTCAGGAAGTGGCTTTTGCATTCTCACGTTATACGAAGCGAAGAGGACGCAGCTTCGGGGAGGCGCAAACTGTTTTCTCCCGATCAGTAAGTGAATGCATCAGTTTCCTATCGGGGGCTGTATCTCGCGGGGGGGGGCGTTTAATGGCTTTATTTATATACTCTTTTCAGTTCTAAGTTCCCTTGAACGTGTCATTGATACTGAGATCCTAGCTGTGTTTAAGATTGCAGCCATGCATCCTATTTTTAAAAATATATTTTTATTGAACGATTTTAACAAACAGATTATCAATCAACATAACTATTTACATTTCCCCCCTTTTTTCCTCCCTCCCCTTCCCCGACTTCCCTCAACTCCCCTCCCTGGTTTCTTTGCACATATTATCCTCTGCATATTATAAAATGGTACATATCGTTGCCTTATCTATCATATAGTCAACTGATAACTTTGTGGATGTTTCTTCAAAACCTGCCAAGGAGTCCAAATCGTGTTGTTGTCTTTTTAGATCATTTGTAAAAAGGTCCCATTCTTCCTTGAAGTCACGGTTGTCCTTATTACGCAGTTTGTATGTCAACTTAGCCAATTCCGCATAACTCATCAGTTTTTCTTGCCACTGTTCTTTCATTATTCTTCCATCCTTGCGCTAACAAGACTCTTGCCGCTGTTGTAGCGTACATAGATTCTTTCCCCCCATTTTTAAAATTGATTTTCCATATTTATTATTATTCCATATTTATAAACAAACAAACAAACATAAATCTTAAGTGTAATAATTCCACTTTTATTTACATTCTTTACATTGTTGGATGACCTCGACTCCCCCAAGCTGAGTTTCAATGTATATCATTGTAACAGTTTTCCAAAACTATTTCCACATATAATTTACTTAGTCAGTAACATCTTTCTTTTCTTTTTTACTTTAGACATATTATTCTATAGCATCACATATTTAAATCCTAGGCCTATCTGGTACAGTGGTACCTCGAGTTACATACACAATCAGGTTACATACATTTCAGGTTACAGACTCCGCTAACCCAGAAATATTACCTCGGGTTAAGAACTTTGCTTCAGGATGAGAACAGAAATCGCACACCAGTGGCGCGGCGGCAGCAGGAGGCCCATTAGCTAAAGTGGTGCTTCAGGTTAAGAACATTTTCAGGTTAAGAACGGACCTCCGGAACGAATTAAGTACGTAACCAGAAGTACCATTGTACTTGCAAGTATTTCTATTTAGATTATCCTAGCATATTTAGCTAAATAGTCTAGCTAAATTTCTTCCGTTCCTCCTGATACTCCTCCTCCTTCTGGTCACGGACTCTTCCGGTCAGGTCGGCTGGCTCACAAAAGTCCATCATCTTCATCTGCCCTTCCTCCACTGTTGGCACTTCTTGTGTTTTCCAATTTTTAGCCAGCAAGATTCTTTGGTTTTTTTGGCAGGTCTTGTCCACAACTATGCATCCTATCTATGCTCCCCCCCCCACGGTTGTTTCCGGTGGGAGCAGGATATTATAATGCACACATAATTTCTTAAAAATTAGATTCCGTTCAAGTTAGGTCTGCTTTAGCTTTTTGAATTTTTCTATTCCTTTCCGCTTTAGAAAAGGGTGCTTATTCTAGCAAATATGCACACAGCTTGATTGCATCATGTATCCCTGCAAGAAAGCCCCGCTGAAATTAATGGGATTTACTCCCAGGTAAGCAGCAGGCATACTATTTAGCCTTTAAGTTTTTAATTTTATTCTTTATTTACAAAAAGGAAAAAAAATGTACTGGTTGATTGTAACAAAACCTCTCAGAGGTTTACAGGAAATTTTAAAATTACCAATAAAAACAGTTAAAACCTAGTAATTAAAAACATTTTAAAGACAAAATCTGCCATAAACTAAAAATAGATTGAAATGCTTCAACATCTGCATAAGGTTGCCTAAACAAAAAGATTTCATCACAAACCTCTGCATTAAGAAACAATATCTGTTCCTTTTATTAAGCTTCGTAAGGGAGTCCTTCAGTGTAGTTGAAGGATCTGAAACTTTGATTCAAACTTTTCCCTTGTAAAGTCCTTGGTGGGTCTCGAAATATGATAAAACTTTGCCCTGCACTCAGTGATAGACTGCTGCTGTTTTCTGTGTCATCGGATTGTGAATCCCTTTCTGGATTGTTCATTTTATCTGCTTGATCTGCCAGAATAAAGGATAATGCTCTTTGATAATGCCGCCGGGACCACATAACACCCGTCCTGAGAGATCTGCATTGGCTCCCAGTACGTTTCCGAGCACATTTCAAAGTGTTGGTGCTGACCTTTAAAGCCCTAAACGGCCTCGGTCCTGTATACCTGAAGGAGCGTCTCCACCCCCATCATCCAGCCCGGACACTGAGGTCCAGCGCCAAGGGCCTTCTGGCGGTTCCCTCATTGTGAGAAGTGAGGTTACAGGGAACCAGACAGAAGGCCTTCTCGGTAGTGGCGCCCGCCCTGTGGAACGCCCTCCCTTCGTATGTGAAGGAAATAAGGAGCTATCTTATCTTTAAAAGACATCTGAAGGCAGCCCTGTTTAGGGAAGTTTTTAATATTTAATGCTGTATTGTTTTTAACACTTGATTGGAAGCCGCCCAGAGTGACTGGGGAAACTCAGCCAGATGGGCGGGGTATAAATAATAAATTATTATTATATTATTATTGATAATGCATTCTCTTACTCTTTTCCCTCCACCAGCCAGCCGATCACCCCACATTTACAATCATCAGGTGTTGTCCATAGAACATGGCGAAGGCAGTCTTGATTGATTTGTGCATCTTCGGACCCAGGTCGTGGAATAACTGGACCCAGGCGTCGGTGATCAGAACATTAGAAACTCTGGGGGAGAACTATCCTGTTTACCTTATGTGTTGCCAAACCTTTGGAAGTGAAGGGAATTGTGGAGATGTCTTTCATACAGCAATACGAGGCTTTCATGGCCCAGGGAAACAACTTGAGGTTGTGTGTGCCAAAAATACAGTTGCTGTCTTATACACCATTAAACAAAAACTCGATGAAAAAGGCATCGACACTGTTAAAGTAATCGTGCCGGCGCAAAGAAAACCCTTAATGAGAGAGTACGTGAATCAACTTTTTACTAGTGTTTACCAGTTTGAGTTTAAAGATTTTCAGATGAACTGTGAAGAAAACAACCTCAGAAAATCTGCAGAACTGCAAGGTGAATTAATACCACTTACAGACCAAGACAGAGAGAAGATCCAAACTGAGATAACCATATTTTTGAAGAGCCTTCCTAGTCTGAAAGGGGAACTTACCATTCTCAAATCTTCATTGATCCCAGGTAACAAAAATATGTGCAAGGATCCTATTATTAGTACTGCAGTCCTTTGCTTTTTTTCAAATGTCCTTTTTTATTGCTCGATACCTGGTATGATCCTGGTTGTGCTTGAGGGGGGAAAAACAGAGTTCTGAATGTCAGGCTCCACCAAAAAAAGCAAGCATGTCTACTTAGTTGAAGCATTCAATAATAATAATCGTTTGGTTCTTAAATGCACATTTCATTAGAAAAACAGCTTTTGTTCGTATTCATGACTGTACATGTACTTCAATCTATGCTCAACCACCAGGACTTTCTGCAGCAAGAAAAGTCAGATTGCCCCAGTAATCGTACATTTTGCCTACTAGTCTTAGCAATAGTTAGGATTTTTGCATAATTTTCTGTGTTTGGGCAAAAACTGCTATGGATAGAGATAAAATGCAACAGGTGGCACTAAGTTCTGAGTATAAAAAGTGGGTGGCAAAGGTCATGAGAAGAAGCCTGATTCAAAATCTTGCATTTTCTTTAGTGTTTTCAATACAGCAAAATATTTCTGGACAAAATAATGGAGAGTAATGTGTAAATTTTGAGCTGGAGGGATTTTTTGCTGGAATTTTTACTGGCAAGTTGAAGTTACCTGTAGCTGGTTTTAAACCAGATTGTGTATTAGAGAGATGGGAAGAGATTTGGAGACTGAGATGTGCTGCAGCATAGCTGTCAACCGTCCCTTACTTGGCGGGAAAGTCCCTTATCCCAGTGCCGTGTCCCGCTGCTGTCCCTTATTGATGATGTCCCTTAAATTTCCCGGGTTTCAAAGGAAGCAGCTCCTCTCCCTCCCTCCCTGCAGGCCAGGGAGGAGGGAGGCTCCAACTGTGTTGCTTGGCTGCGTTGCTCACCCAATAAGGAGTCTAAGAACGACTGGGGGGGTGGAGCTTGCATGCCTTGTGCCAATCAAATCGGCCGCGTTGCCTGGGGACTCGCCTTTGCTCAGCGCTTCCCAGCGGAGAGGTGACAGTGGTTTCCCTTGCTGCATCCCCTTTGCCGGGTTGCTGCACTGTGGGAACCACTGCTTCAGGCTTCGTTTGGCTGCTGGCTGGGCTTTCTGCCTTTGGATCGGAGGGGCTCAGAAGTTGAACATACCTGTGCTCTGAAAATCCCCTATTTTGGCTGCTGATCCCTTATTTTCGAGGCTGCTGGTCCCTTATTTTCAAATCTGTAAGCTGACAGCTATGGATCTGCTGCAGGTTTGGGTTCAGTGAATCTCAGGAGGTTCCCAGTGCTTGCTTAATTCCCTCCTCCTCAGCTCATCCAGAGTTATGCCAACCTATCTCCCCCATCCCAGCTTTAAGTCAAATTCTTGCTCCCCTGAAGCTATTTTGGGTGCTATTAGGCCTGTATAACCATGATTTCCCTCCCCACTTCTTGTTCTTTTCGCTAGATCCTATCTTCCTCCATGGATTCACTACAAGAATGGGCGGCATCTCCTATATACCGACGTTGAGCTCTTTCAATCTCTTCAGTAGTTCCAAACGACGTGACCCACCCATTGTGGTTAAGGAAAACCTTCGCAGGCTAGCTGCTGCTGCTGGATTCAACCCTGATGCATATCACAGGGTAAAGGTAAGGCAAAGAAAACTGAAACTAGGGGAGGACTTTTAAGGGGGAAATTCTCAGTGTGACTTCTTCCGTTTATGCTTTTCTTAAAGGCACAGGAGTCCATTCAGGGTCACAACAACCCATGACACGGCTTTTTAAGATCTCCATCAAGAGCCTCAAACATCTGATTTAATCCTTTTCCAGAAATTGGCCTTGGTTTGTCGACAAGTATTGTCCAAGAGGTCATCAGTGTTCCTCCTGGACCTGACAGAGGCCGTTGCTGCTTTGAATTCAGATATGTTCTCTTAAAGTTTTTTTTCCTAAAGCTTTCAGTCTTAGGTTTTGTCTTAAATTGTCTTAAATAGATGCTATGAATGATCTTGAGCAGTTGTGGAAAGATGAGAAGTATTTTAAATAAACAAATGGCCGTGAAGTTAAGCCATCAGCAGGATCGGTAGTCAAAAGTATTAATTCATCATTCACTGCTTGTACTCGGACCAAAAGACTCTGCAATACTCCCAAATATTTGTCAGGATAATACTTGCTAGGGCTGAGCCTTCAAATCTGTTTACATGTTGCAGTGCTAAACACATTGGCAATGAAATGTATTTTTAACAAATTCTAAACAGAAACCCCCCCAGTAATGAGCCCACCTACTCCCACCATCTGGAACTAAGGACCTGGGTTTTCAGATCAGAGGAAATGACTTCAGGCCTGGTTTTCACTTCTACTCCATTTTGTTGTTGTTGTTGTTGTTGAAAATAGATCTTCAGGTATTCCAGTTGCTGATTGTGGTCCTACCTTGTCTTTTATCCCCACTGTTAGCACATATATTCTCAGCGGAGGAACCAGCTTCATGAGTCACGGTTATAAGCCGATTCATTACAAAACCAACTAAGAGCTTGTTTTTGAACAAAGATCTCTGCTTGGAATGTAGTGAGAAGCAGAGATGCTTTGAAAGTGAAACAAAACTCAGCCGTTCTCCCAGCACTGAGGCTCATCCACATGGAGACTAATCCTGTGCACAAGATTTATGTTGTCTGCTTCATGTTGCATTTGTGATGTTCTAGTATGTCACTGTTATTTATTGTTTGTAAGCCGCTTTGTGATTCATGCGAATGAAAAGCAGCCAAGAAATTATATTATTGTGTTTGAGTTTCACTGAGTTGTTGAATCATGTGAATAGTCCTCGGATTCAGCCTAAATGCCACCCTGTTTCAGGGCTTATGCCAGTTTAAGACCAGTCAAGCTCAGCGCAGCTGTCTCTGTTCTCGCTAAGCCAGGCTGAGGAAGATACTCCAGGCATAGGCAAACTTGGCGCTCCAGATGTTTTGAGACTACAACTCCCATCATCCCTGACCACTATTCCTGTTAGCTAGGGATGATGGGAGTTGTAGTCCCAAAACATCTGGAGGGCTGAGTTTGCCTATGCCTGCTCCAGAGTGTCTCCCACTGAGCCGAGGATAAGGGAGTTCAGCCTGTGTAGTCTGGCTGCTCCAGGAACCTCCTGGCTCAGCTAGCGATCCAGTGGATCCTAACCTGCTCATCCCAGTGAATCTTGCTATAGGATTGCCGCTTTGGTAATAGAAATGCTTTTAGTATGTGAAGGTAGCAATTGTGAGTCACAATAATAGGAAAAGGTACAACCTGGCTTCAGTGGGGCAGAACTAACCACCTATTATTATTATTATTATTACTATTATTATTAATAATAATTTATTTATACCCCATCCTTCCCGGTTTAAAAACTGGGCTCAGGGTGGCTAACAGCAAATATAAAACACTGATTAAAATGCAACTTAAAAACAGCATAGAATACAACATAAAATGCAGCATCAATATCAATAAAATTCAAAAATTCAGGGCTCATTTTTGAGGAAAAAACCCCCAAGTCAGAATACATTTGGAAAAAATATGTGCAGAAGATGCCCTCCTGTTGCTGATTGCTAGTGCCCTGGTGCCCATGCAGAGCAGGAAGAAGGAAACAGATCCTGGGACAGATTTTTCTTTTCTTTCTTCCTGCTCCTGGTTGTTCAACCCTTAAATGAGTGATGGGAAGCAGTCTCTCTTCAGGGTGAGGCATTGATCCCTGCAGGATGCAACTTAGTGAGTCATCGCAGCCCCTCAGATGCAGGCCATTCACAGCACTTGTATTAGAATCAAATAATTGTTGAGTTGGAAGGGACACTGGGGGTCATCTAGTCCAACCCCCTGCATTGCAGGAATCTTTTGCCCAACATTGGGCTCGAACCCACGACCCTGAGATTAGGAGTCTCATGCTCTTCCAGCTGAGCTATCCCAGGTATTTGACGCAATTGACACAAAATAAGCCAAATGTAATCATGGTCATAACACTGATAAAGCGGAATGGTTCTTTAGACTTCTCATGACACGGGGAAAAACGATAATGCCCCAGACTGCTTCTTGCCTGGTGAGGATTTCTCCTTCTGCCTCATCTTTGACAAAGCCTTTAAAAGATCTGAGAACTTATCATCCTGTCTCGAAACACCCTTCTGCCTTGGATGCCACTGAGCAGAACTAAATGGGTTTAGGAAATAAATGGCTGCCTGCCCCTGAAAGGGTTAATTTATTGGTTAAAATCGAAAGCGGAGAAGCTAAGCAAATCTCCTCAGGGAAGGGATTTCAAAAAATTGACACCACTTTCCCCCCTTATGAACCCCCACCATACCTGAAATGGTGGTGGTTCAACACAGAAGGATTTCCAAATACAGTGGTGCCTCGCAAGATGGAAAACTCGCTAGACGAAAGAGTTTTCCGTTTTGGAGGTGCTTCGCAAAACGAATTTCATATGGGCTTGCTTCGCAAGACGACAATGCCTTGCGAGTTCCTGCGGGGTTTTTTTCCCTTTCCCCCCCTTTTTCTAAGCCGCTAAGCCGCTTATCAGCTGATCCGATCAGCAGATAAGCTGCTAAAAGCCGCTAATAGCGCTAATCCGCTAATCCGTCAATGGGCTTGCTTCACAAGACGAAAAAACCGCTAGACGAAGAGAATCACAGAACGGATTCTTTTCGTCTTGCGAGGCACCACTGTAGGCAGTAAGCAGTCCTTGAAATATCTTGGCTGCAGACCATTCGAGGCTTCAGAAGTCAATTGTGTCACTTTGACTTGCTCAATATTGCTAGGCAGAAGTGTTGCCTCGGGAAATACAGGAGCAAAAGAGCACTCCTAACTTCAGTTTTTCAGATTGCCTTGCCTTCTCTTGGTGTTAACAGGTCAACCACGCCAGTGATGTTTGGGTCATGGGAAAGGCCGAGCCGGATAACTACGATGGGATAGTAACTAACCAGAAAGGTGTTACACTCGCTGCCCCTGGAGCAGACTGCATCCCTGTGCTTTTCGCTGATCCTGTCAAGAAAGCATGTGGTGCTGCTCATTCAGGTAACAGGACTCCTTTTTTTGCTTTGCAA